GGGGGGGTCAGAAAGAAGCCCATCTGGCTGTGGTTTTAGTTTTGAACCCCTCAGCTTAGGCAGCTAAGTTAAGTCCCCTATCCACCCCCAACCCCGCTCTCGCCCGTTCTCCTTCCCCATTGATAAATATATTTTCAGGCTCTGAGATCAACATTAAATCTCGGAGCAGCAACACGCTGGTGCCCTAAGACTACGCATCTGCATCGGTGCTGCACCTTGGGGGGCGAGGCGAGGCGAGGCCCCTTTCCTCCCCCTGCGCCCTGGCCGGCCCTGCTGGGTCCAGACGCAGAGCCTGCTGCTTTCCAGGCTCCCCTTCAGCCGGCGTGGGCTGCCCCCCATCCCACCGCTCTGGGCCCCCCGTGTCCACATTGGCCAGGGCCAGTGATGGAATCTGAGCACCTCAGACATCACCCGGGTCCTCCTGCTTTGCGACTGCAGCCCCAGTGGCCCCGGCCCCCATGGGAGAGGTGAGTGACAGGGCCAGAGGAGAAGCTTCCTGTACTGAGGTGGCGTCACTGAGGGCGACGTGGCACCAGGTGAGGCTGCAGAGGTGAGCAGGGCGAGACAACCAGGGGCTAAGACGACTAGTTATCCATTTAAAAAATGAAGTCCTAACTCATATCACGCATGAAGAAACTCCAGATGTATGTAAGATTTACATGTACATGGAAAGACTTTGAAACTCCTAAAAGGTATTGGGCTCAGCAGGGGCATGGTGGGTTATCACATCTGTGAGAGGAGCCCTGTGGATGAAGCTGGAGACAGCTCTGGCTCCCTGCGGCTGGGCCCACAGGCTCTCGGCAGTGGGCCCACTCTTTCCTCCTCTGATTCTGTCTTTCCTGCTCCAGGGTTCCAGGCCCATGGCAACGGTGGGAGCCCCACTCCCAGCTCTCGACCACACCTGCAGCAGCTTCTGGAGGCACTGTTGGCAGAGTCCAGGAGCCTCCACCCTAGTGACTCCAGGGCTGGAGAGAGCCCACTGGAGTGGGAGCCCCCCACCCTGGGGAAGTTTGGTGTGGAAGCCTCTGCTAGGTGGCCTCAGACCCCAGCTTCTTCTCCAAGCTGAAGGCCTGGTGCAGGTGGTCCTGGTGTTGCCCTGGAGTGGTCCTGGCAGGCCCAAGTGCACACTGTCCCCCCAGCACTGTCTCTAGAAGATGACCAGCCAGCACCTACCCAGGCTACTTTGGGGAACCCAGCTCTGGGTCACTTCAGGGGGAAACCCAGAGGTCAAGCCTGTGGCTTCTGTCCCCAAGTGGCGAGGGCATCCTCTGGGTCAAGCAACCCTTGGCTCCTCTAGGAGACGCCCGTCTTCCAGCCCCAGCCTGACCTCTCTGTCTGAGGCCCAGCCTCTCCCTCTGCCCCTTCCTTCCCCACCATGTTCCCCCAAGGGCTCCTGGGGACAAAGGTCTGTCTGGGAGGCAGGCCTATTGGGGATGCTGGCTCTGCCTGCTCTCATGTCTCCCTCAGCCCTGGAGGATGTGGAAGTCCTGTAGCTGAGGCCCAGCCCCCCAGCATGGTCTGCTGGGACTGCCTCTGCCTCTCCCTCGGGCCAGGCCGTGAGGGGAACCCCGTGGCTGGGACCCTGGGAGCAGCCTCCTGTCCCTGGTGTCTGGGTGCTGGGGATGCTGGCCTCCCTCTGCAGCCTCTAGCCCTGTTCTCCACAAGGTTTTCAGACCCCACCTCCCTCCCGTTCAGCTCAAGAAGGCCCCAGAGTCATGGGGGTGTCACCCATAGGGAGACAGGGAAGAGGTCGGGGCCCCCTAGGACTGTACAGTGGAATATCAGCCAAGAACATGAGGACCCTGAATACAGGACTTGAAGCTCCTTTCTACCCTGTGTTGCTATTTCTAGGAGCCTTGTTTTCCCTTCTGGCCAGAGGAGGCCCTGAAAGGTGGAAAGGGGCCAGGCAAGTCACCCTGCTGGTTCTCCTTCAGCCAAGCCCCACTCCCCTGCCTCTTCAGCCCTTGTCCTCCCTGGTGAGGGTGTTTCAGGAGCAAAGAACACCTCCAAGGGTGCCTGGGAGCAGGCCAGCAGCCCCCTGGTGGCACTGCTCTGTGGCCCGGGGTGGGAAGGAGCAGGAGCCCATGCCCTATCCCAGTAGGGCCAGGTGCCTCAGATGTTAGGGGGGGGTATAAAGTTGGGTGCTTGCTCCAGGAGTTGGGCACTGGGCTGTGCTGACTGCCCATCCCCCCACCCCCACATACCCCCACACAACTTTGACGTTCTTCACTGCCCTGGGAGGGCTCTCAGGTAGTCATACCCATTTTTTAGAGGGGCACTATAGGCTGAGGCTCAGCCTTTGCCCACCTCAGGGGATATGTGGACTCACAGGATGCTAGAGCCTCTGTCCTCAGTCTCCCTTGGGTCAAGGATTTTCTGAGACAGAACAGGGCTCTGATCTCCAGTATTCACTTCAGAGAAGGATCATGTGGGGGAAATGCTGTCCTCTTCTTGCTCCAGACATGGAGGGGATGTCTGAGTGAGTTTAGAGTGGGCGAGAGGGGGCTCTGGCATGCTCCTAGCAGAGTGACAGCTCTCCGGGGAGCATCCTAGCAAAGTCTTTGGGCCAACCCTAAGACAGACATCACCTGTAGTGCCCTCATTTGTCAGAGAAGTGTGACTGCCTCACAGCCTGCCGGTCTCTCTGAGCGCCCGAGCCAGGCCTCTGGCTCTGGGCTGGGTTTTCCCACATAGGTCAGAGGAGGTGACATGCTTTGTGCCCTGTGAGGGCCTCCCAGCTCTCAGAGGCTTCCCATTACGTGCTTTCATTAGTACGTGGCTTTGCTCTTGGAATCTGCACACTCCAGCAAGTGAAGCGGGGCTGGCTGACCCTGGTGGTGCAAGGGGAAGAGGGCCCCTCCTCTTCTTTGGGGGTGATCAGGGACAAGGCTGTCCTTTGTCATGCCTTTCCCCTTGAAGCCACCTATCACTACAGAGCCCATTCCCCAGGCCAGCTCTGGGCCCAGGCCTGTTTTACAGGCTCCACCCTGGCCGTGGTGGTCCAGCCCTGGTTCCACCCCTGGAGTTCCAGCATGGAGTGTGTGATATGCATGGTGCCCTCAGGTGTTAACCAGAGCCCGGGTGGCTAGCCACTCCATCCCAGGGTCTGTGGCCTGTTCCTCAATCCCCAACCACATAGCTATGTGGGCTCACTCATCAATTTATTCACTTGGGCCACAGATGCCTCATTATGAATTAGGTGTCAGGTGGGTCGTGTTATAGGCACTGGCAATAGCGTGGTAAGCAAGGCAGGGTTTCTGTTCTCATGGGGTTTACTGAGGGGTGGGGAGAGGGGTGGAAGGTACACAGGCGGGTAAGAAAGCACCTGGGATTGGTAAGTGATGGGGGAGGGGAGCATTCCCTTCGGGTGTTGGCATTTCAACTGAGACCCCGATGACTACCCTGTGAAAATCTGGGGAAAGAGCAGCCAGTGCGAAGACCCTGGTCCAGGAGAGGAGGGTGTGTCAGGCCAGTGTGAATGGGGGGATCAGAACAGGGAGCAGGCAGGGCCAGGCCGGTCAGAGAGGGAGGGTTTTATTGCAAGAGCAGCAGGGAGCAGCTGCTGAGGGGTTCTAAGGAGGGGAGTGATAAGATCTGATTTAATATTTAAAAAGCATTCTGGATGCTCTGTGGAAAGTGGATGGGAACAGGGAGAGCAGTTGGAAGCTGCTGCAGTTGCATAAGCAAGAGCGATCTGGGCAGTGGAAATAGGCAGAAGCAGGTGCTTTGGGAGTGTGAGGAAATCACACCTGCGATTGGTGCAGGGGTGGGGAGACGCAGGGCTCAGGGAAATAGGTATGTTAAGTCTGAAGCTGTTAGACCTGGAATGAGTGGGCCAGGGAGCATGTGGGCTCGCTGAGCCTGGAGCTCCCATCTGATGGCTTCCACTTTCCCCGAGTGTAAGGCAAAGTCACAGCGTGGGGGTGGGCGGTGGGGAGAGGACAGTGAAAGCAAAGACAATTCTGAAGAGAGGAACCGAGCTCTAGGAAAGTCTGAGATTTGTGGTTGTGAGTTGAAAGTGAGGCCAGTCGATGCGGTGTGTTCTGCTCCGGAAAAGGCAGCCGCTTGGTCAAAGGTGATTTACTTCTGACTAGGGTTGGGGTTTTGTTAGACAAGTGTAATGGAGGAAGAGAGGGTGACCGACTGACATTAGAGGGCACTGCTCAAGGGTCTGGGAAAGGGTGAGGTTGGGTCATACAGGGTGGTCTGGGGAGAAGGGTCCCAGGGACTTGAATGGCTGGGGGCCTCAGGAGACAGCCTTGGGGTGAAGCATGGTTGGGGATCATCCTCAACTGGGCCCTGAGCTGTTGGAGCCCTGGCCTGGGGGTACCTGGGGCCAGTCTCACGTCTCAGGCCTGCATAAGCAGCTCCAGAGCTTCCAGCTAAGATGGCACAACTCTTTTCTGCATTCTCACAGCTGGGAATAGAACGACTGTCTTCCTTCCCTGGGAAACATGGTGCCAGGTCACCTTTCCCCCATGGCCCCCCCTTTCCAAGGACATCCCTCAAGGGCACCTTCACTTGGGCACTCTGAGAAAGGCTCGTGTGTACGTCATCCATTGATACCTGTGCCACTGCCGGTCACCATTCAAGCTTGGCCATGTACTGGGGACAGAAGAGATGTCTCCTCTGATGGAGGGAGTGATGCAATACACCCACTGGACACCATCTCAGTACAGTGCTCTGAGTGGGACAGTGGTGGTGTATGTGCACGGAATCAAGGATCTTGGAGACTAGGGTACCTCCTTCTGCCTGAGAGGGCGGTGACAGGTGAGTGTATCTTGAAAAGAGAGTGAGGACCCGCCAAGAACAGAAGGAAGGGTGAGGAGGGTGTTTCTCGCAGAGCAAACAGAGCCTGGAAAGGACTGGAGATGCGGGAGTTCAGAGCAGGTCCAGGGACCAACACGTAGCCTGGTGGGGTCAGGAAGCGGGGCCAGTGCCTGCTCTAGGCAGCTCCTGCTGCTGGCTGCTTGGAGGTCTGGGACTGAACTCTGCCTGGTGGAACAGGCTGACAATGGAAAGTCAGATCTACTTGAAGGAAGCCCTGCTGTGGCCTGAGGCTCTGATTCATGCAGCGCTGGGTGGAACAGGCAGCTGGAAGGTGTGTGGGGGAGATGGAGAGCTGCAGACAGGAGCAGGAATCTGGTTATATAATGGCCCCCACTGTCCTCAAAGTCAGACGAATGTCTGGGAGGTGGGGCTGAAAGGTGGCAGCAGGTGACACAGAGCCTAGAGTTGTGACTGAGCCTCATGGGTGTTTGTAGACTGTCCTGGGCTGTCTCCACCTGGGCTGGTACCCAGCAGGACCTGGTGTTGGATAGGCCCAGAGCTGCCCCTTCAGGAAGGCTCACGTGAGAACCCCTCAGTGGGGACTTGTATGGGTCAGGGGAGGGAGTAGAGCAGCTCTGGCCTCAGTTCCTGCAATGTCCTTGAGTCCTAGCCTTTTAAAGAAAATGGGGGGAGACAAAGGCTGATTCTGGCTGTAGTGTCTGGACTCCCAGCCTGAGTATGGTTGGAGAGGGTGAAAGGGGTCCTTCCCAGCCCCTCTGGGCTGCCAGGGTGCTCAGACTGCACAGCCACAGACCAGGGAGCCATGGGGTCAGGCAGGAACTTGCTTCAGTGGCTGCACCCCAGGCTCCAATGGTCACCCCCTGCCTTTCCTCATGGAAAGGGTTACTGAGACTTCTCCATCCCTGGCAACTGTGGGTCCAGGCCCTGCCCAGTCTAGCGAGTGGGGAGGAGGCATCCATAAAACCTACCTCTGGATAGGGCAAGAGAGAGTGGCTCCAGGAGGGCCGAAATCATTGGCTGTGGGTACTGAGGGGTTGGGTAGGCTGACAGCCCAGGATCAAGGCGGAACACACCTCCTGCCCCTACCAGAAGGTTAGGGGATCTGGGGTACCCCCCATCTGAGACTGAGTAGGGATGAGCCACTGTCTGTGGGCACCAGGAGGTCGCACTCCTTGCTCCCACGAGGATGGAGCTGACAGGAAGGTCCAGTGGGCACCTGACTCAAGGCGGGTCCTGTGGCACAATCCTACTTCCTGAATGGGATAGATACTTATATATATATATGAAGAAATATGAAGCCAGGCTGGGGTGATAGCATGAGGGGCTCCAGAAGCAGCGAAAAAAGTGCCCCGTGAGGCTGCCCAGGCTGGCCCTGGTGGCAGTGGCCACAGGGAGAGTGGGTAGGAACAGGGTGCCTTAGGGAGAGCCCTGGCTCCACCGCTCTTCGAGGCCAGGATGGGGTGAGAGGGGTGTGTGCTTAGTCGGAAATTTCTTCTTACCCCAACTCCTCTTCCCACCGCCACCCAAAGGGGGCGCGCAGAGTGCATGTGGGCCCTCAGCCGGACGAGGCAAGGAGCTTGGGAAGCTCCTTCCTCCACGGCTGCCCCTGAGACCCGCTTTTTCTTTGAGACCCGCACTAAGTCTCCTAGCTCTACGCCAGGGGACATCTTCCTATCGGTCAAGGGGTTGGGTGTGCCCAGAGCCCCCACACCCCAAAAGAACCCGTGCCCGCGTCTCGGTTGCTGCTGAGATTTTAATCCAAGCCAGTTTTCCTCTTACCTCTTTGCCCTGAGTGGAGGAAACCGAGGCAGCTGCAGGAGAAACAGGACAGCTGAAGCCAGAAATCTCCGAGCACTCGCTCGCCCCACCGGCTCGCAGCGTTTCAGGGCCCCCGGACGCGGCGGGGCTGCGGAGGCCCCGCGGGCCGCAGACGGCAGCAGAGGGCGCTC